ATATATACATTGAAATTTGTATTGAATTGAAAACGGAAGATTCGATGAGAAATATAAAACCAAAAAAATTGCAATTGAAAATTTCTCTCTGAAGCATAATGAACTTTGTAGTGCTAAAGAGGTTCAAGTTCAAATATTTTGTGAAGTATAAAAGGATGATCCATCCGTTTTCAATAAAGAAATATAAAAGCCTTCAGTACTCAGAATCCTTATCAACGCGTCCGTTTCTTTCTCTACAACTAAATAGTAACGAGTCCATGGATTTCTTTGTTCGAAACTTTTCAATGTTCATCACGTACGGGCGCGGAAACGCCGTCGCGGATCGTTAAAAAACGGGACACCCAGTGCACAGACTTCGCGAGTCGATAGAAAGAAGAATAGAAACGCTTTGGGAGAACGTGCCGTGCGCCCTTTTCCGAATTTTTCCCGGCTTAAACCTAAGTTAGTTGGGTAAAAGTCACGCGCGACCCAGTCACGTAACTCAACGCGAATAGAATTTGATTCGACCGTTTCGAATTGTTCGATTACGCGCCAGTAAAAGAAATTCGTACAGCTTGCAACATAACGGCGGAAAGATTCTTCTCCTTTTCGCGTAAAGGAGACCAGCCGTGTGAAAAACAGTGGCTCAATCGTTTTCTTCCGCGAAACACGAAATGCGTCGGCAAGAACTGAAAGAAGAATTCGAACGGCCGTGCGTGAAATAAAATGAAAAACAATAAAATAAACGAAACAAACAAGAAGAACGCGAATCCTAAACATAAATAGAGGACGAATGGATGTTAGAGAGAATTGTCGGTCGAAAAGCTCGCCACGCGAGACTTAATTAAGCGCTTTTCCGGATGCAAAGGTCATTAGCGATGAATGAAAATACATTGAAAATGATCTCCCCGGAAGCAGTGACTTCCAACGGCAATTAAGAAATTCAAGGCACAGGAAAAAGAAAAGAAGGGCGGGAAATAAAGTAGAAGAAAGATTAAAAGAAAACGTGAGGCCTTTTTCTAAATTGCACGCCGGTAAGTTGTGAAATTGTGGAATTGATATGATTCACGATGCGGTTAAAATGTACGCAGTACGCGGTTCGAATAAGACCGCGAAAGGATTTCGCCCTTGCGGTGGACTTTATCAGGAATTGTATTAAACGCGACTGTCGGCACGAGATAAAATTACATTTAATAATCGCGGCGCGCTAAGCAGCATATTAAAACGAAAGGGAAGAATGAAATCGGAAAATAAGAGAAGGAAATCCGGAAAGCCGCGAATTCCGAAATTTCTCATTCTAATACGGGCTCGTTCGAATTCTTTTATTCGACCGCAAACTTTTGTGGATTATTAAGCCGTTCGGCTCCGCCTCGAAATGCGAGAACTTCATGAAACAAAAAGGAGAAGAGTCGACCGCTACGGTGAATTAAAAACTGTTGGAAGACACGAGTATAAAAGAAAGTGGGAAACTACGAAAAACAGAAAAAGAGGAGAAAATCGAAAAGAAAGAAAAAAAAGGGCATCGGACGACAGTGGAACTAAAACGAAATTGCGATAAATCTCAAGTTTAAAAAAAACCGTCTGCTCAGTTCTGTGCGCGCAAAATCTCTGTATATACACGTAAGTACTCGTACATATATATATTTATAAATGTCTTCGTCGGTGTACACGTTTCCTTGCACATACTTGTTCGCGGACACGTTCGTACGGTACAAAGGGGAGTCTCTGCATGAAACTATATAATATATAGCCTAAATAAACAATTAAAAAAAGAAGAAATTACACATGGAAATGAGACAGTAAGAGAGAAGAAAAGAAAGTTAGAGAATAGATTTGAGTGAGGACGAACGAAAAAATTGGCAGTCCCTGTGTGTATGCGCGTGTATGTATGTATATATGTATGTATATATTATCACGACAAACAGACGTGTGTGTAAAGCCCTACGCGAAGAAATATATCGACAATAGTAGAAATATAAATCTTGGTAACGTCTCTCGCGAAGAGTTAACAATAATAACAGATTCTCACGAGATGATCATTAATATATAATATGTACAAAGCTACAGTTTTGGTTTCCTCTTTCCCCCCTCGTTTCCTTTTCCCTTTCCTCCTCTCCACCATCTAGCTAACTCTATTTCCCGTCCGTTTCCTCTCTTCACGCCACGTGGAAGCTGGAAACCGCTTGGGAGAGACCAGAGACTCCGATGACCGTCGACGACGAGCTATCACCATGCGAACGAAACCTCTCTCCCGCAGGAGAGAGACTCTTTTATACTTCACGGCAATAGTCTCGGCGCCGCGTGCGTTCTCGAATCCTGCTGGAACGGAAAGACACCGAACGCCCTCGCGTCCGAGATCGGTGATTGTCGAACGAAGCGGCACACGCTCCCCACTTTATCGATAAGGGGAAAAGGACCACGCTCACTCAGCGTATTCTCACGTCTCTACGTGTGTGTATGTGTGCGTGTGTGTGTTGTGTGCGAGTGTTTGACTTCGTTTAAGATTCACGCAACAGTCTATAAAATCTGTAAAACAGCGGATAGACGAACAAGAACGAACGTCGTCCCCTTAGAAAACGAATTGAGTCGAGAGAAAAAGGAAAAATAAAAAAGGGGGAAACACGCGGGAAGAACGAGAATCGAGACGCGACTAAAACGCTCGTAACAATGCAACGAATGGAATCGTCGTTCTCCGCGTCGCTTCCTCAGCGAGGCAACCAACACGGTTTCTCCTTCGTGAGAAACGAGTAATACGCGCGTACGGCAACGACGGACCGAAAGAAAATTGGGCGCGGAGCCACAATTAAAGCGCGTCCGAATGGATCGCGGGTCTAAACACCTACGCATATGTGTATGCAGCCTGATTGGACAGTCTTCGGATCGAAGAGAGGAATGCGTTCTCGAGAGAAAAATAGATTTATAAAATGAACTTTTAGCACGCCCTTTCCCCTTCTTCTTTATTCTTCGTCTCTACTTCCTGTTCTTATCCTGTTATTTCCTTTTCCTTCGAGGGAAGCTAACCACACTCCCTTCAACTCGCGCGCGCGTAATTTGTTAAATCGTTCATTGAAAATCTCTGAAAGCTTTGCGACAGAGTGAAAAAAAATATATATATATGTATATATATTTGTGTGTGTGTAATCGTGTATACATATATATGTATACATATATACATATACATGTACGTTTTGATCAAATTATCAGCTTAACTTCGCGTGGAACAAATTACTAGACCTACCTAATGTCGTGTTTTCTTGTTTTCTTTGCTTTTTGTTTCTCTTTTAACTACTTAGTTTAAATTACTAGCGGCTCGCCGATGAGACCAGAAGTGAAGACTCGTCGATTCGCTGCCGTCAGTCCGACGCTTCACAGCGCGTGTCATGTTGCTACACGTATCGATCATCCGTCGTGGTAACGTCCCCCCGTCGATGATCATACCATTACCATGTCTTCGTCGGAGCTCTGCCTCTGGATCAGTTTCTTCCTTTCTAGACCGTCTGCGAACAGCCATCAAGCTAAAAGGGTTACTGTTTTTCTTTTTGGCGTGTCTTTAATGTTGCGGAAGTCTCGTTACACGGACGCCTATTATCCGAATAGGGCGCGCTATCCTTTCGAAACATTTTTCCGTGACGATCGCTATTAATTCCGCTCGTAACAAGGTAATATGAAACTAACAGTGCTCGTGTATTCGAGCGTTACGAGCGGCGATTCAACAGGAACGCGTAGTCTGACTGCGAAAATGGAATGGCAACATTGTTTCGCACTAAAAACATTTCATCAGTTTCGACAATTTTGAAAATGAACAATAATACAGAAGCTTTCGGACGTTGAACGCGAAGTTCGTTGCAGTATTCGCCATATTCAGTAGTTGGAAGTTATAAAATTGGGAAATTGGAAAAATATCAGTTTTTTTGCATAATTAATTTGGATAATACACTTTAATGTGCGCTACGTATTCCAGATACGTTTAAATGAGCAAGATACGAGGACTTTACCATGGATATCACATTATTTTTATAATAGTTAATTAAGTTGATGGACGTTTGATATTTAGCATAAATAATTCGCTATAGAAAATTAAATTTTTCATATGTACTATGCCAGATATTACGTTATAAATATATATAAAATGAATTCTTGTGAAACCGTCGACGATTCAAATAGCTTGAGATTTGATCGCAGTAGTCGAACAAAAGACTCGCCTTTGAATTTCGATACAGAAATTCAATCGGTTGATACCCTCCCTTTTCCAATAATATAAAACGTGCTTTACTTTGAAGAAATCGTGTGTCTTCGAAATTATTGGATATATCACAGAAAATTGGAATATTTCACCTGGCGCACGTTGTACAATCGATATATCCTTTTACAGTTGAAGCTTCTTTATATGATTTATTAATGTAATTCCTTTTGTAAAAGAATATAGGAAAAGAACATGATAAATTTAAATATAAAATTTGAAAGAACTCTGCAACTTTATTACTATCGATTCTCCTTGACCGTTCCTATAAACTAAGTACCATGGGGTCCCAATTCTAACATAAGTAAATGAAAAGAAATTTACCGGGGGAGGATGGACGCAGATCGTCGAGAGACCCATCATCCAGATCTGTGGCAGAGGGGTGTAGGTCGTCGTCCGAGGAATCTCTCGTTAGGCTGAGAAGGTTCGAGGTTAACAGCGCTTTCTCCTCCTCGATTTCCTGTATGTGGTCGACAAGAAGCGCTTCCTCTTCGTCGCCCCGGTCCCTGTCCCGATCCGCGGTGCCGCCTCTCGCGGCCGCGTTTGAGACCGCTGCATTCAGTTCTTCTGGGCTGAAGATCTTCGAGGATCGCAGGCTGGACAAACGATGGGTGGCCGTGTGACAAGCAGATTCGAGAGTGTTTATATCGGCCAGGGTGGCACGCACAACCCTCAGCTTCTCTTGCACGATTGTCTCGACGCAACAGGTTTGCCTTCCGACGTCTTGCAGCGAGTCTTGAGCGGGCAGCGTCCTGTTGGTACGCAGGATGCATGGCGCGAAAACTATCGCTAAAGCAGACGGGGACATCCGATTGTCGACCTCGTGGAGCGCCACCCTCGCCAGGTGGACGATCAAACGTTCCATCAGGTCGAAGTTGGGTTTCGGCAATTTCTTCAGTATGGCAAACAATGTGCTGATCCGGTCCTGAGGATCAGTCAGGTTTGCGGCGTGCAAGAAGTCGTCGTAATACTCGAAGGTCAATAGAGGTTCCGGCATGTCGCGAAAGAAGCTCTTCAACACTGCCGCGAGCACATGCACCTGGTAATTCTCGAAATCCACCTTCTCCAGATCGCCCTCGTCCATCTTCTGCTTTAGTTCCTTCACCTTTGAGCTGACGCCGCTCTTCCGGTATATACCCTCCGTGTAGAGACCGTGCATCTCTATCGTAGTAATCAATCGGTCGACCACTAGTGGCACCTTACCGTCTCCGCAGTCCAATTTGTATAGTTGCACGCCAAATACCTTCCGCGAGTTCATTTCGTGCAGCGACCCGTCCTTGCCACACTCCGCGGACGCTTTCATGTAGCACTTCTTGTGACACGTCAGCTTGCAATCTAAACGCAAAGGTCCATGACGAATGATTGATCGCGAATGGCGCACGGCGCGGTCCGTGTGTCATTTAGGTTGATTCGTGTGGTTGTTTCCATGCAATACTTAGTTCTGAATGCAATATATTCTATTTTTATGATATTTTGATTTTGTAATGGATACTGAACGCAATATAGCGAGAACGATACAGATCTTCTGAAAGAAGGAAAACAGATTTCCCTTGTTTTTGGAAGACTTAACATTTTTATGCGACTTCAATACACGTTCTATTTTCTGCGCATTAATTCAGATTTAATTATTTAAAGATGTTTAGGTAGAAAAGGTCAAGAAAGTACCATAATAAAATTTAAAACATAAGAATTCTTAGTTAAAATATACTTACTTTGACAAACGAGTCCTCGTTCAATAGGCCACATGAAGAAGGAGGTGCAAACTTCGCATGCGGTGGGTATATTTATGATGGTCAGCTGGAACATGTGATTGCCGTGCCGAGTCGGTTCCTCTTGCTTCCGTTTCTTTTCTTTTTTCCGCTTGCTTTTACTTTGTTTCTCCGGAGCTTCGGTTTTGACTAGTGTCATGAACTCGTTCATGAAACCGCGGAAGGCATTTACCCCCATCGTCACAGGAAAGTCTTCGCTGGTATTTTCCTGCTTGCACACTGTTTCCATCACATGCAAAAAGTTCGCGATCAGGTCAGTGTACTTGATGTTGCCTTCGACACCCTGCTGAACAGCAACGCTGTAAGTGATCACCAGGTCGTCCTTGAACTTGCGAAGAGCCTGTTTGAATACCCGGTCCACCTCGCTGGGTTTCCTGCCCTCTTCTTGACCCTCCATTATGTAAATCTTCTTAGTGATGAACTCTTGCATCAACGCCAGTTCTTTTGCATCCGATATGATTTTATCCGTACTATCCGAGAAAGCGGAGGTGCCGGTCAAGCTGAATTTCGACGCAACCGTTTGCTTTGTCGCATCGTACGGCGTTCGAGGCGGCTTCCTGTTTTTCCGCCTACCAGGCGTGTTCGTCAGGAGACACGGCATCTTCAACACGCCTCCATTCTGAATACATTTCACATGGTACAATTGTTTACATTCAAGACACTTGTACCCTTGCGTAACAAACGCGTCCATCTTCTCGTGGCAGCAAACGCAAACGTCATCCTTCGCGAACCTACCGACCTTCCTGAACCGATGCCCGGCCAATGTGAACAGATTACCCTTCCATTCTAAGAGATTCATCCCAGGAGCGAGTTTCAAGTCGTTTGGACTCGTATCGATGCCGGCTTTATCCTCGCTCAAACCTGATATCTTCGTGGCTGGGTCGGAGTTCCTTCTTCTAAGCTCTAAAGTCGTTATAGCGTTAGATCTCATACGCTTACCAGGCTGCTGGGTCTTTGATGCCGATTCCGTTTTGTTAACAGGCCAGTCCGTCACCGTTCTCGATGGAGTCTCGCGCGGACTGTCCTTGTGGGTCCATACGTTTGCCGACTTGTTTAAGTCGCTCTCCTTAATCGTGCCCAAGAAGAGACTCTTCGTTTCCCCGCTATTAGGATCGGACACGCTCTCACCCATGGACCAACAATGGAATTCTCGGGGCGCCCGGTTTCTTCTCGCGCTTCTAACCGGCACATCAGGCTCGGACTTCTCCTTGGGTCTCGAATTTTTTTCTTTAGGCGACGTTCCTCTGAACAGGGAACTCTTCAAAGTGTTTTCATCGTTAACGGAATCCAACTTCATGGATGTGTCTCCTTCTGAATTTTGTCGCCTCAAGTAGCTGAAATCTTTGAGATCTTTTCCGTGGCCGTATCCTTGATCTCGTCTAATCGGTGATGCCGAGACGCTGTCCAATTTCTCGCTAGACATACTGTTGTCGCTGAGTCGACGCTGGTCTCTGCTGATCGCTGTGCTCTCCATATGAACGAAACGCTCGTTTGCGTCCAGTTTGACGTTGTAATTCGACGCCTCGTTCGGCTTTTCATGTTGCGTCTGTTCGTGCGTGTTGTCCACTGTGTTTTTATACTGCGTGACATTCGGTGAACGCGTCAGCGTTGTCTTCTGAGAGCCAGACAATGGATAGTCACTGTAGTTGATGGATGAGAAGTCTGCTCTGCGACGCCAAATGTCAGAATTCGGGCTGTGAGTTAAATTGATGTTCGATTGATGGAATTTAACGTCTCGCGGATTCGGGAACGGTGGAGCAGCGTTGAAGACCGGCGGAGCACTTTGCACTGCACTCGGAATTTCCGTGTCGGTCTCACCATCACTGTACCCCGTCGACGAACTGTCCGCTCGTTTGCTGACCGATGACAGTTGACTCGATGCGTGTACTAAGTTCGTGTTCACTGTCACCCCAGGGGAATGATCACCACGTTTCGTTCTAGTGCTTGGTACAGGTTTGCAGTAATTTTCTTGAGACTCGGAGCTGTTCACGCTAACTTGAGATTCGTAACTCCTTAAACTAGTCAAGCTCTCCAAACTGCTTTTACGTTCGTTGAATTCTTCGGAAGAATAGGGTTCTGTGTTCTTTAGTATTGTATTGGATTCGTACAGCATTCTCGTGTTTCGTCCAAGTTTCCGTTTGGAGTACGTCATGTTTGTGTCCATGGTGCTGTCCCTTGCTATAGCGTCCGTTCTGTGGATTAATAAATGGCTGTAACCATACTTAATATGTTTCGCGTCGCGTGTATCACCATGGTATACGCTGAATTTTCTGTTCAGGCCATTTTATTATTTAAGCATAATTTATAGAGTATTGGCAGGAAGTATTTCATGAAAATTGTTAACATGTTCACTGGATGAAGAACTGTTTGCAAATTTAGAAGATAAAAGCAAAATAATAGAATATTTTTAATATTCCAAAAAAGGTGATAATAGAAGTTAACAAACGATTTGTTATGTTTGAAAATGAATGTACAATTCCTTAAATAAATTCATTTTTACAACAGATGCTCAGTTTCTTTGATTAAATACCTCTGCCGGGTAGTATATAAAATATTACCGATAGTACATACGATCTGACCAAAACCACGTGAAATATAAGCACATCATGGAACATATTAAAATATTGGTAAATACAAGAAAAAAATTGTTTACTTACCTTGCTGGAATGAAACGATTTTGCGACTCCACTTTTCGAATCGTATTGAAATCCAATAATGCATGGTCTTCTGTAAGTGACCTAAATAATACATAAAATTATAATAATATTTATATCTATGTATGGTAGTCTGCACATATGTAAATATACTACTTCAAATTTTGTACCAAAAATGATTACGAAAAGAATCTATTACTATATGTATTACTTAAAACATAATTTGTATTTGATATAAACGATATTTATCCGATAAAAGACACAATATAAGTACTTACTCTTCACTGCTCCTGAGCTTTGAGTACACTTTATTGGTATCATACAAAAGTTCCCTTTGATCTGGAGTTTCTTTATATTCTCCAATTTTATCAACGAGTATGTTCTTGCGTTTCTTCAGCTCAGCAAAAGCTTTTCTCGCATTGTTCCCTCTGACGTGAGCTTGAAACGTAATCATACAAGACCTGAGCTTTTTAAACCACGTGTGTTGTTTGTACGCTCTCCAAGCGGATTGTATGTGAATAGCAGCATCAATCCTAGCACGTAGAGATTGAGCAACAAGCCTTTGAGCAATGATCATTCTCCAGAAAGACTCTATTTGTATGACAGCATTTTTCAATCTCAGGAACTTTCTCCTCTCTAGACAAGCACGGAACCACTTTTGTATAGTTGTAATACTTGTGATGATTTGCTGGTGGAGTTCTCTATCCAATTTAATTTTTTCTGATTCCCTTAAGAAGACCTTAGTCGTTCCAAGCTGATAATTGTCTCTATTAAGATTCAATGTCAACAAGAAATCTCTAACGTCAGATTGTGAACTTAACAGGCCCTTCGGTAATAACATTCTGTACAATTGAATAAATTCTTCGTACGTTAATCGAACATTAAATCCGGCTTGTCTAATTCGTACTGTCTCTAACATTCCTGTGTATCTTAATTGTCGTTGCACAGTTTCTTCGTCAAATTCATTTGGTACTTTGTTTGCATTACTTTTAATGCATCTGATGAAAAAAGGGTTCGCTTGATTTAAAGTATCCATAAGACTATGTAAACTTTGTTGAAACTGTGCAGACACTGTCATTGGCTGTTTTCTTGCTTTCCCGGGTCCAGTTCCATAACTCTGTGTCCTACCCGCAAGAGTTTTTACAGTCTGAAGATTTTTTAGACCCTTCTTGCCACGTTCTCTTGGTCGAAATGATTTGTTTTTCCTGTAAAAGCGACAAAATTTAATGTATTAGTAGCAAAATGATTTAAAAATTCCTTTTCCTATTTTTAAATCTTTTTATTCATGAATATAAATCTCAAAGACAATGTGTTTGCATTCTTATAATTACTTACATGTTTCATTAGGTCTTCTAGTGTGTTATTAATTTGACACAATAAAAAACAGGAAAAGGAGAATATGTATTTATTTCAATGACATTTATGGCATTGCAAATATATTTAACAAACGTATTATGAATTATAACAAACATTTAACAAAATGTTATTATGACTGCTGTAACTTATGATTGCAAATATAAAAGCACGCGACAGTAGAGATATAGTCCGTTAGCGGATCTTTTGGAAACTGTCAATACTATGAGAGAAATGAAATTTCCTTTTAAACTAAATGTGTAATGAATCAACTATAAATATATGTAACAAGCAGTTAGCAGATTCAAAGAGCTACTAATGTTATTATTCAATATCGTCAGGAGTCTATCAGTGTATAAGTTATTAGAATTCTGTCTCTTAAATTCTATAGTAAAAGTTTAATATCGTGCAATTAGTTAGAGTTAGATGCTAGTAGCAAGAGGACATAAGTTTCTAAAACGAGAAGCTTGTTCACAAAGGATTATTTGAAGTGATTTTAGTTGCTGCACCGAAGAGCATGTAATACAAATTAACACATTAGTATCCATTGAAATATAAACCAACAGTTTAGCAATATATTGTTTAAATCTTTTCTAATATGATAAATATGCTGAAATTGTAAATGGGCTAATTTGTATACGCTCAAAATTTGAAAAGTGAAAGAACTACTCTGAAGTCAACATGCATAGACGCAGTTCAGATTATGACAAACGATTACAACGTGACGACTAAGATAGTACAAGTAAGGGATAATGATCGTGAATATTATAGCACATTCAAAGGAAATGACTTTTATGATGTACTTCTGAAAGACGTGAGATTGCTTCCTAAAGTAATGAACATATCCATGAAAAGCTGTGATATTATATTGCATGGGAAGACCATTAATATCCTATCAAGATGCTGTCACCTAAGAAGAAGAAATCCTTTACCCAGAAATGACTATAGAGCACACACTACCTTTATATCGTAGAGCAGTGAATGTTTGTAGCTTAAATTACAAAATCTTATTGAATATTAAGTAGCTGCGATTTACATACATGACTATCTGATTAGCGCGTTCCATGACGTTTGCTTCGTCTTTTGGAAGCACCCTCTCTAGCGGAGTATGAGTATCTCGTCTGAGTTTATTATTACTATGAGGCTGGTCTTCCCTGCCCCTTATTAAGTAACCCTTCATCATGGTCACATTGGACGGGTGTTGCGTTTGATTAATGTTTCGGAATTGTGGCCACGACAATCGGTTGTTGTTTACATTGTCGTTGTTTTCGAGTTGTATAGAAGATAATGTGGTAGTGGGTATTGTTGATGGTATACAGACACTGCGCTGCTTCTGATAACTTGGTGGACGATTATGTTTGTGCGAACTGAAAAAGTCTCTCATGCTTAGTTTCATTTTTATCTTCTTTTTTCGATTCACTTTTATATGTAACTACGTACTAATTAATATTTAGGTCGAACAAAGATTAATTTTATCAGTGAATTCGGAAAGTGGAACGGTGACTTTTCCAAAAGTTGGTCTTGTGAATGACTCCAATGGAAAAATGCGAATTTTAATGACTGAATATGAATTGTGTAAATAAAAAGTTACTTCAAACTGTTAATCATGCCCAAGGATAACAATAAATATATCATTAAATGACAAAATGTAATTGTATAGCGGAAGTCATAAGGATTGCACTCTAATCACACTTAATACAGAAGGTGCATACATATAATTCTAAAGAATATTTTTAACACACAATACTGAAAAAAATTGTATGGATTTACAATTTTGTGTAATTTGATATTTTCTTAGTGAATCTATCGAAATTTCGATTTTACATGTTTCTAGTGTAAACTTAATGTTGAGAACGAACATTGTAAATCCATAAAACACCTTATTCTAAGAAGAATGTAATGTTTGCCAAAACGACACATACAGTGGATCTAAAAGACCACTTACGCGATTCGGTTAATAGTTAGATTGACGGTCGACAACGTCACAAGATGGCTACAGGGACAAAAGACATGTGGCCAATGTAAATATAATTAACGTTTGCTTGAATTTTAAACACATAGGAACCTCTTCAGCTTGATGCAAATATTATTAACGCATAACGTATATTTATATTTTTGTAGGGTGAGATAAAATATACAAATCAAACATAGTCAAAAAACAAGCGCAACAACATTGGCATTTGTTTATATCACGATCATTATTATTCAACCAACAAATGTTGCTATGTTGTGAGTATACAAGCATTTTAAACTTTCTTTTTGAGTCACCCTTTTATGAGAGAAAAAATAACAAAAAAATAAATAGAAAAATAATGTATACCTTATCAAATTCTCGTTCGGTGTCCTATACCTGTTTTGTACAGATGTTTTTGTACCGTCAACTGTAAACGAAAAGAAGAATCCTTAAATTTAATATTAATATGAATACGAATACTAAATGTATTATTATGAATATTGCATGATACTATACCTCGACCATGTCTGTGAACCCGACCAGCTTCTTGAAAAGCAAAATGAGCACGAAAGAATGCACGGAGTATCGCCCATCTAAATACTGCAACAGGATCTGCACCCACTAATTCTCGAACAAAAGCGAGGGAAGAATTTTTCAGTACGCCAACCACACCATCAGGTCGCATTAAATCCAGGTTTTTTTCTCTCATATTAGAAGCTTGATATTTAACAGCTCCTGCATAATGTCGTACAACGAATGCTGCTTCTCGTCGCTGTGGTGCTTCATAAAACCGATTGTCTTTATGTACTGAATTAAATTTTTGTAATAATGTCTCGTTCGTTGCGCCCGGAAAACTATTCCAAATATATATATATATATATATGTATACATATATTTTTTATATAGTCGAGCATATTATATAATCCATATGCAATGAAAAGTAATTTGAAGACTCACTTGCACTGATCATCTAGAAGACAAAGAAGACCGTTTGGTTTTCCTTCTATTAAATTTAAACAACCTGAATTGTCACTATATCCTATATCTGTCCATCTAATTCCTTGTTTCCTATACTCTCGTTGCTCATATTGAAAAACATGTTGATTGAAATAGTGTTGTAATTGTTCATTTGCATAGTTTATACACAACTGTTCAAAGCTATTGCACGTTTTGAAATCTTCAAAACCAAAAATATCTAGCACACCAATACTATTTCCTTGATGATCTCTGAGAGTATCTTTCTTTGAAAGCAATGCATGATTGACCTGATGTATAAAATTTTCTATGTTACTGTACATAGTTTTAACAGTTTATTAATTTATTAAAATATTGCTTCAAAAAGCTAAAAAATAAATTCTTGCCTGCAGAACAATCCAATCAAATAGAGCCCCATATAGACATTTAGCCATGGCATCTCTTGCTGCAATTGCTTCTGGGAGCCTATAATTAATAACTAAAGTTTCCCCAGAGGCTCTTGCACGCTTCGCGGTAAGCGCTGCCAAAAGAGTCTCTTGTTTAACTCTAAGAAGTTCAGATATTAATGCTACTACTTCGGGATTTTTAACTCCTACAGCTTCATCGTGATGATGATAAGATTTTCTAGGTTGAAATTCCACATTGCCTAAAATAACAAAATATAATTAGTTTTATTAGATAAAATACTAAACTAATTTGTTAATCACCGAGTAGAAGAACAGCTGACAGAACGGCGAACAATCGCCTCTGTTTTTCTGGCGTGAATCCAACCATTTCCATAGATTGTTTCAGTCTTGAAAATTCATGTCTCTCATCGATATTTTCCAGCCCATAACAACCACTTTTATTTAAATAATTATAACGATCACACTTTTCTAAATGCAGAAGTTGTTTTTCTTGTTCACTCGCTCCAGCCAAAAGATAATAGAATACATGGTAATTTCTTTCGTTTCTTCCTTGGGAGACTATTCTAGACTTTTCCAGAAGGTATTTTTGCACCACAGCCCTGATAAATTTATAGTAAATTCCAATGTTTTACCAAATAAATAATATATTCATTAATGTCTTACCCATGCACCATTCCATTTTCCTTATAGTTCACTTGAATAAATTTTCCAAAACGACTACTATTGTTATTATGTGCTGTTTTTGCATTACCAAATGCTTCTAACACAGGACCAGCACTAAGTATTGTCTGTTCAACTCCACTACCATGTGAACCTTTTTGACTGAGTGCTGTTAAATGGTGCAGTAGAAAATTTGTTGATTCAGTTTTACCTGATCCACTCTCACCACTAATTACAATACACTGATTTCTTTTCTCCTTAAGCATACAATGATAAGCAGCATCAGCTATGGCAAATATGTGTGGAGGTATATCTGGCCCCAATCTTCTATTTTGATAGAGTTTTACATATTTTGGATTGTAGATAGGATAAAATTTGAATGGATTTAATGCAATCAAAATACTGCCAACATAAGTATATATGTTCCCAGCCAAAAACCTAGCCCGGAGGTTGTCTAGTAGCGTTTGCTCATTAAGGTCTGGAAGTTGACACAGATCTGGATATTCTTTGTCACGTGGTTGATATAGGAATCTATTAAAATAGTCCTTCAGGAGCTGTGGATCCATTGGAAACCTACTATCCGACCATAAATCTGGCTGCTTTTTTCGTAAGTAAAACCTAAATCAAAAAGTATTATACAATATATTAAAATGTTAATGTGATTTTTTTAATATTAGTTGATTAGTGACTTTTTAATAACCTATAGTATTCTTGTTGCGCTGCATTTTTGGGCCATAATAACATGAGTGCTACAGGGCACTCAGTTGGCCCAAGTCTTCTTTCCTTACATTCTTGACCAACAGAATTTCCTACTACTTCTGCTAATTCATATCCATTCGAAATGTTAGGATCAACTAAACCAAGTCTTTCAATGATGCACTCTACTATCTCAGCTGATGAAGTTTGTTTTGTAGCTTTAATTGAAAGTGCTTCATAGTCTGGGCTCCATTCACCCACAAATACTTGCACCACTCCTGAGCAACAGCTGTCCATCTTTTTAACCCTATAATAGTTAAAAAAAAATACATTTAAAAAATACATAAAAGAATAAAACACTTTAATGTTTCAGTTTACATCAATTTTGTATATATTTATTTTTCTAAATTGTTTTACCTTATTTTAAGTAGGGTTAACAAAATTGTCCTCTATCATCCATGCAGAACTTCAAATGTATTGTTTCTTCTTCTTTTTGTTTTTCAATTATGTACACCCACTGATGCAAACGTTTAAAATAACTTTTACACATTTTGTTTAAAAATGTTCACTGTTACAGTCTTACAGATTACTGGACTTATTTACAGGTATTGTTTACATTAACTTATTTTTATTTAATTTTGTCAAATGCACTCAAAATTATTCAATACTCATAAACTAAAATGACCATATTTATGTACATATATATCACGTCAAGTCTTACATATGAATTGGTTCAACAAAATAAAAATTTGTGAATATTAATTTTTCTCCATTTTAATATGTAGTTTACAGAAATAGTAAAATATATCCAAATCTGTTTTAAAGCTTCCTCTCAACTTCATTGTTTAATCAATAGGACAAAATACCACAGAGTATTATAATCATTCGATCATATACATTCTTTTTCAGTATAATAAAATAGAGTAAGTAAAGTTCTCTTTGCTTTTTTTCTAATTTTATATATTCAGTCAATTTTATGTATATCCTTGTTGATATTGTTCCTAAGCCCTTGGAGTATTTTGAATTTATAGAATGACGCGTTTTAATTCAAGTATCACATATTCAACACTGAATGTCTAGCAAAACTTTCCTGACAGCCATTATATTTTGTCATGACATTCACTGTATAGGTGGAAAGAATGTAGGTGTGCTATTGTTGGCAGGCAATAACTCAGTTTTACCGCTGAGACAATAATCCAAGGTTTTCAATGCTTTATAAACATTTTCATGCCTTTTGAGTATTGTAGTACATTTATTGCAAAGAATTACAGTCGTGTTTGCATTTGTATGTATTATAAAACTTTTGTGCGTTAAGGAAGTATCTTATCTGAAAAAGAAAGATACATGCCACATCAGTGTTTGATACGAATTAAATTATTGCATAACGTAAAAAATGCTATTGTCAATATTCTCATTGTGTCAAACCACTTGGTAAACATCAATATTAAATCCTATCCTTTGTACACAATGTATTAGTTATTCTTTTCATTTTGCATGTTACATACATTTAAACTAATGAAAATTTGCAGTTAAATGTTTAATAGTATGAAGACAAGTTATCTGTCACACGTTATCATATCGATATAACGTGATAACAATAAACGACAATTACTAACTCTAACCTTAACGTAAAAAAATTTAAGATTTACACGTGTCTTTGTTCCTTGAAAAATTTTTTGTTTCTATTCCTGACTTTTTTTCCCACCAATATATGGTGGGCGAATTTAAAAATATCTCTCGATGTCCCCTCGCCTCTACCGGTAATTTTTCAATTAAACGAATGTCGAATTTATCGCGTCACAATTGTAAAAAGTAACGCAGAATAATACTCCGAGTAATCTCTAATGAATGGTAATCGTAATACACTGATCATTCGTTGGAAACACAAAGAATTGCGAAAAACGACATACGTTCCCAAGATACCGATTTGCCTCGGACCTGACGGCTAACATTCGCAGGAAAACCGTCTTCCGATGCCGATTGGCGGGTCATGGACCATACCACCAATCAGCGGCGATCTGCGAGTGTGAACGTCAACAGAGTAAACCGGGCTTAAAGTCATCAAGAATTTCTCGTCCAGGCATGACACTTTACTGGCCGTTACGTATCATCGTCAAAGAATGTAATGAAAACATGTAGGACTATTCGAGGAATACGGTCACACTATTACCTCCTTCGCTGATAACAAGATGCTCGATGTGACACATTCTTATAGATCACTAAAGCTCTCACATACTTGGACATGCTTCCGTGGGCTTGATAATTTTCACTGTAAATGCACTGCCGTCTGTTCCCGATCCCCCGATTCTCTTTCCTCTGAATCGTTTATCCGAGAAATATATCGCCGTTTCCGGGCACCGTTGTGTTAGCGTGCCATCAAAAACAACGTTACGTGCAACTGTGGCTCTCGCGCACTCGACACACACTGTCCCTCTGTTTTCTCGCACCTAAAGAACACACGTACAATACGGGCGGATTGACACTTCAGTAAACAAGAGACACTGTCACTGATAATTCCGCGCCAGTTCTGTCGTCGCCGGTCCACCTTAATATTACACCAATATTCGCGGTTAATCGTGTTCCTGATTTGATAATACCGATGTCACGGATGATGGGCCCTTGCCCAGTTTATCGTCCTTCGTCTCCTCTCGGGATCCTGCGTCCCGATACGTCCACCATTTCGATTTTTCCAATCACGTGGTACAAATGGTCGGCCCTCATTGGCTCGTCCTCTGTGACCACGTGACTGAACGCTACAGCACTAACTTCCATTGAGAGGAAGGTTGCAGTCGGAGCTATCTGTTGATCGTTTCAGGAAACATTTTGCGCACAATGAAAGCTGTGCATTTTTTATGTTGTTCCGCATTTTTAACTTGCATACGAAGATTTTGACCATATGTTCTGATGCACAGGTGTTGCTATTGTGACTGAAAACAAACCGTTTACCAAAAGTAGCTGTTATAAGAACATTTAAGAGAACATTAGAAATATCATATGTATAGTAATAGTTACTCGTACTTAATGTTTACTATGTAATAATAAATATAATAAAGAACTATACACGCGGAAGCCATTATTAATTTTCTTAATGCCTTGTTTTCATATCGATAACGTAGTTTACGATGTAAAATTCGGAATCTACTTTATCAACATTGTTATATCTGGGATCACTGTTATTTGAATTAATAATAAATAATCAGTTTTTACAAAAAATAACTAAAAATATGTTTCATATTTTTCAAGAACTATGAATTGTATGATATACACAGGTTTTATTTAGATTTCAGTATTTATACAAAGTCTGTTAATGCATTTGCTCATTTTACATTGAAATAAAAAAAAGAATATGATCACAAAATATAACATAAGACTATTAGATGCATTATTTTGCAAAAGGAAGCATGTTCTATAAATCTTTATGTTAAAAAAGATTAAAAATTTCCGTTCTCACCTAATTTGATTTTCATAAATTGGAAGTTGCGCTTTATAGAAACTGAAATTTCTTATCGCATAAAAGATTTTAAAGAATGTTTACATATTCTATTGTTGCATCATACCCAACAGAAATTTCAAATTTTATTGTAGACGGTAAAAGCAAAAGATAATTTGTTAGGCGAAAATTGTTTACGAAGATCAATGAATGATATAGGTTTATTGATGACCTGCCATACTGTTTTCCTTTCAGTTCGTGCGCTACTTTGATACATCAACGATCTCATACATTTTTAAAAAAACCAATTGTGTCGAGAAGAAACAGCACAACCATTCTGTTCAATAAATCGAAGCTGCTGTCATAGAATTTGCTCGACTGAAACTACAACGTTGCAAATTTCCGACGTATTTAAACAACTAAACCTTAAAAAAATATTTGGAACATCACTCATTTACAGCGTACATAAAAATTCAAAGTTTATGAAATGAAAAATTTCACAATTAATCTCCTATAACCATTTATGAAGGAAATAAAATTTTATTAAATGTCCGTTTCTTCGAGTTTCTCTGTAAAAATGCAAATTTGTAAACAGTTACGTAGTCTAATCATCAATAAGCATAAAAAAAGTAAACGATAATAAAATTTCTATGTCGCCATAATATAATTACCACTTACACTGAATTTTTCTTTGAAAACGTTTAATCTACGCTGTTATTGAAAGCCTCTCGATAAAGGCTAATAATCTTTCGCGACGTATCTATGCTAATTTAATACATTTCACCAGAGCGTCGTTATTGAATCGGGATAGTTCGTGTTCGGATTCTTGATTGATACCATTAGCCAACGTTTATTAATGTAAACACGATCCTATGCATTTCTTTCACGTACCATCGTATCTCGTGCACTTACAACTATGATAAACCACGGGATCGATCCGCGCATCGCGAAATATGCGATTTCCATTGCGCCCGACGAATCTGATTTTCCAGCGGCAGTTTCTACCATTACAAAGTTCCCTCTTTCTATTCAGAATATATTTCATTATTGTTACAAACTTATCTCGTTACTTCTTATTGGAGCGCCGGGGCACAGACACGCGTCTAATATGGCGCAACATTACAATCTGCCTACTATACATGTGTGAATATATGTTGCCGCATTCATTGGGAAAACAAGCTTAGAGGTGGTTATATGTAATTAACGCCCGTGCAGTTTGCTCCTAAAATCATTACATACGTTGTTACGTTAATACCTGTGCCGATGCATTTGTATCAACTCGTTACATGAAGCAAGTGTATGGTTGGTTTTAACAACCACTGTCCAGTTCGCATTAGAATCCGATTTACTGATTCTGTGTAATAAAACTGATAACAAAGTATCGATAAGAAATGAATTGGTTTTTGGATTAATATTTCTTGGTTTTCTCGTCGGTTGTATGTCAATGTCGTTCAGATAATATTTTTGTTCAACCGTATATTTCATTCCGTTGTTACGGAGATATTCTCATGGCGATCAATGATGGATAGACGTCATAACGTTCTAACTGCTTTTCAAATCGAGATAGATATCTGGAAACATAGTAATGGAATGTTATACACGCCCAATTAATGGATAACGTGTAACAGAGCCTCGGTATTGGCGTTCTCTTCGTGCTAGCGTTAAGGATACAGGATTTCCCACCAAACAAAAGTTATTGTAATTACTGATATGAACATATTTTGAGATTTTTAAACGTATGAAAAACGTATTTGAGACAAAAATCACAATTCGATTTAATCTTCCTTTGATTTCTTTTGCAATTTAAAAATTTCAAATATTTTTCAAAATTCATTAATGGAAAATACGAATAATCTCGGAAATGTGAAAAATATTTTTTGAAAAATTGGTCTGAATTTATATAGAAAATAAAGGCAATATGAATTACAGGGGAAACTAAAGAGAACTGCGCGGGTTTCAAATTCCTCATGAAAAATACACGTTAAAGGAAATATTTGCTTTAATACGAAGCAAGTCTATGCACACACACACGATCCTATAGAATGCCACACATTTAAAAGTCAAATCGATTTCCTACTGCTATGTACAAGAAGTATTTGATCTAAAATAGATCTGATTCTAGTCACCCACGGATGTATTCAGCAGTGGCTACCTACACCCGATAACCCCATCCTAGTATCATCTACTCAATAGACCCGATATTAATCGCACACACCTAATATACCTAATTCTGCCCGCCTACGACTTCATAGATCCGATATTCAGTTACGTACGCTCAATGAACTCGATCCTAGTCAACCACGACTAGATAGACCCGAAATTCGCCACCTACATTTGGGATGTACCTGTGACTTGGAAATCTTCGTAGTTACTCAAGACTATATACTTAGAATTGTGGTTTGTTTTCCGAAAGATGAGTCTTAAAATTCACCAGAAGGCACTAAAATACAGGAGATCTTATTAAAGTGTTTGAGACTCTCCTTTCTTGGTTAAATAATGTACATTCATGTTTTTGTTGCTTTCTTGTATTTAAATAATTTTTATACTGATTCGTAATTATGTTTTTTATTTCCTCCTGACCTGTCTCAGGTGTACCTATTTTTCGATATTATTTATATTCTGGTGTGTACCATAATGTTCATATTATGTTATACTATCATTATGCTCTTGATATTGATTTCTTCGTGCATGAAGTCGTCGATATTGCCCTTTCATATGTCGCAGAATCTTGATGTCGGGTTGTGCTATCCTAGGTTCTTTGTTTTCAATTCTACATCCGTCTATGTCTTTCGTATCAATACCTACTAACTTATAATACCCGTCATACGAACCACGCATCGGGAATCCTCTGCATTGTATTCTGCGATCTATAATATTTTAGATTGTGGTAAGCAGATTCCAATATCGGTTTCTGTATTTATTCCACTAATGCGTATTCTTTGATTTCGCGAAAAATTGGATGGAAAATGTGTTGTTTCTAGAAAGTATTTAATACGATTTGTGTAGAATTAATATTTTTTATAATATAAAAACAATTGAACGGTTACAGCCGTCGTTTGCGTCAATCGGTAAAGCAATCCCGAGCTCTCGAGTATATTATAATGTTTTCCCTCAATTCCCTTAGGATAATTTAATACTATGGAAACTATTTAAAGTTAAACAGCTATCTCAAATTCACAAGGTTTTTATCATTTATGTTGCTACATCTGTTATATGTTATTTATATATTATATTTTATCATAAAAAAATTAAACATAAAAAGTTCTTTACCAAAAATAAAATAATTCTTAGAAAAATGTTACTAAAGAAGTCATTAATCAAAAAGTTTAGCACATCTGAGTCGATAAAGAATGGGCAAAAAATAGGCAGAGCATTTTAGAAATAGCATTTGTACTTTGTGTCGCAGCGTGTATCAGATAATAATCGGATCTAGACATGCAATAATAAAAGCAGCATCAAATTCAAACTGACTGCATCTGATGCCCTTTACTGATGTCTACACACTGTGTCTATTCCTACAGGCAATTCATCTTTCATATCTTAACGTGCAAATGTAGTTACTGTCATTATTGTTAAATCCCATCTGTACTTAATACCCAGTGTTTGTCACGCAGGTTTACATGGTCTTAATGCCAGCTGCATCATGATGTCTGGCTTTGTTGTCATTAGTATTCGATTTCCTGATTGGAAACCAATCCCAGAACTTGTATGCTCGCTGATATCAATGTATATAATCGGAAACGTTGTCACGGTAATTATGTTTGTTACATTTCCGTTTTCCAGTGATTATAAGTACCATTACAAAGTAAGGACAATCTCGACGTAGCTTATTAGATAAACAAATATCGAAGAATCCAATATGTATTATTTATTTCACGGCCATACTTTACACGGAAGAACGTTTGCAATTGCTTAATAATAACGCATTTCCAAGCTCGATAATTTTTTAAAAGTTTATGCATCTTTTTTTTTCATAACTAAATGTTATTGAGTTTCATGATTTTATATTCGCATTATGAACAAAAATTTTGATTTGTTTAAATGTCAACCAAATAATCCGTTTAAAAGTCAAACACAAAATCCCCATATTTACGATTAACGCATCCGTTGCGCTACGGTATGTGTTGGAAAAGTCCCGTGCACGTCCTCACGTGGGACGAGATTTACTTTAATCTCGACACGCCCGTTTCCGTTGTGTATTTGCTTTTAAACGAGGAAAATTTTTCATAACGGCCCACTCGGCTTTGCGGGAACCGTCCTG